TCCGACTGGTCAAACTAGTCAAATATTGGTTTTGATCAGTTTTCAAGTAAATATGATTTTTTATTGAGACTAAACTTGCTAAGGTGACGATATGAGCAGTTGGACCAAACAATCTCATTTGGTCTTAATAACTATCTTGTTTATCTGCATAAAAAGTATAGCACTTCAATATGAAATAGAGGTAGTCCAATTTTTGGATGATTAGTGATTTAAAACTCACCAGTCTGGAAGGCAAATCATCGAAAACTATTGTTAATTGGTCACTAACAACCAGGCTCCTTGTCGAAATGAGGTATATGTCAAGCTTGAGTGGATTGGCACAGTTCTGTCAGGGAACTTGGTAAGTCCGTAAGGAGCTGGGGGATCTGGATCGGTCAGATTCTCTCAATTCCCACACATTATATTTTTAGTATTTTATTTATCAATTCTGTTTTCATGGACCCATTCCTCACTGGATTCTCCGATTTCTACCGGATTTTAGAAGTCCAATTTCACCTGGATGAAACATTGATTATTCTAAGTTTGCAAATAGTGTATCATTTATGGATCCCATAATTGAAGATTTAAAAATTGTGGCCCTTTGTCCGAGAGAGCAAGAGTACATATTCTCCGGCGGGAGTACGCAATACCCGCTCTCCTTTAACATTTATTAGCCTTTCCTTTTTCTTTCTTTTGAATCTGTCTTCCCCCGCCTTTTCTTTGGTCCAATTTTTTTGAAAAGTGTTGTGAAATCATTGTTGCATAACTCGAGAGAGCCTCTTTCAATTGTTTATTATATACAATGGTTTCTTTGCGAAAACAACAAACAAAAATAATAGGGTGAGGTTTGTAAGTTGTGACTTTGTATAAGGTGTCCACTTTAAACCGTATAACTATATATATATATATATATATATAAAAGGTGTCCTTATAAATTTTATCAAAAGATACTGTTTTGATGTCAAAAACCTTATAACGGATTGAAAATTTATGTTCAACTGTAATTATAAAATTTAAAATTTTTGAAATGGCGTAGATCGAAGAGAACTATAATCACTTACAATTTTGAAACTGTCTAGATAAAGTGTTACAAAATGCATTATTTGTAGGATTTGAAATTCTTTATTATCTTGATATCCATATATCTTGAAGTCAAGATGATTAACTGAAAGGTTGTATCATTACAAAATATAATATTTTTAAAACTTGAAATTCTTTATTCTATTAATATGAATACATCTGGAGGTCGAGATGATCAACCGGTGGGTTTTCCAACCTCATAATACTCATTTCTATTGGATTTTTTATATGCACCTTATTTCTATATCATAAGATTGCAACTTTTCCTAATAATAATAACAATAATAAAATGATACTATTGCTATTATTTAACTGCTTAGAGTTTCTTTATACTATTTGCATGCGTCCTGTGCGACAAGCATGAGACACGAGAAGCTCATTGCACTTTTGTAATGGTTGGGTTGAGATGGATCATCTCCACCACCCATCGTTGAGGACAATGGTCCATATCGTCCCATGCTTTACTATAGTACTTTACAATATGCATATATGCACTTTTATTTTTTTTTCTTTTCTATGTAGTACTTTACCAAATCTCAATCCCTTATTTCATGTTGTTGAATGTACACACATTGAATGTCCGTTTTGCATTTCTTTCTTTCTTACACATGAGCATACCATCTCTCTCTCACACTATGTGTGCGTGTGCATGCACGTGCATGTACATGCATACATATAAATTTCACACTCTTTTGGCACACGCACACCTCTTTGGTTTTTCTACCTATACGGGGCTGCAAATAGGCGGGGCTTGGGCTTGGGCTTGGGCTGGGTTAGACCTGGCTCAAGCCCAATACACATTTTTTTTAGCTGTGCTCGGCTTGGGCCCAAAAACAAATTATGACTTATGGCCCCGATCAAGCTCAAACTATATCATTGAAGGCCAAGCTAACCCGTCCAGAAAATTGAATGTCATAGAGCTTGAGCCCATATATATATATATATAAAATAGAAAAAATTTTCAATATATGTTGAGTTTATGTGGCCTTTAAAGGTCTTAAGAGAGATTGTATAAATTCAGGCTAGCTGAGTTGGAAAACCCAAAGCACCTGGGCATAGAGATAAAATCGAAGAGGGTTTAATGGATTAGCTCTTGATGAGGTCGGAGTATGCCGGGATAAGAGCTGAGGGACTGTGTGATCATTATGTGTGATGAATAGTCTATAGAGATAGAACTAAAACCTTATCGTTGTACCATCACACGGCATGTACATAGATAGCCGTATTGAGATAGTAATCCACCATTAAGGGTTCAGCAGAAAAAAACACCTCTTACATATAGTAGCAAAGAAACTCATGATTTCAAAAAAAAAAAAAACAAAAAAAAAAAAAAAACAAAAACAAAAACAAAGGCGCCCTACTACCCTAACTACTTAATCTTGAGACCATTATGAGACCCTTCAACTACACAAGTGTATCTTTCCATTAAAGGAAACATCTTCTTGTCTCTCTCTAAGTCGAAGCGTGCTCAAGGGCCAGATCCCAAACAAATCCCATTCCTAAGACTCTTAACAAATAAATACGAATCCATTGAATAATAAATATAAGAATCAAGTTGAAGAAAATAATAAATAAATGAATACATTGAACAGTTTGAGGGGGGAATAAGGGAAAGGATGAGGCTTCATCTACGGCGGGGATTGGGAAAAGGCATCCATATTTAAAGGGCATAGTGCCTTGGGCCTTACGACCAAACCCTAAATACTCAATGCCCATGGTCGGGTATAACCTCAGCAAAACTTGATGCCTCCTCGATCACAAACACACCACCATTATACTTTCATTTCCTCTTATCCTCGGCTGGCTGTGTGTGTGTGAGAGAGAGAGAGAGAGAGAGAGAGAGAGAGAGAGAGAGAGAGAGAGAGAGAGAGAGAGAGAGAGTAGTAGT